GCCCCTCTCTTCACTCGGGTGTCCAAAACATATGGCCGCAGGTCAGATAATACGACTACAAAATCTATCATCGACCTGTGACCTAGGCTGCCCTGGCACCAAGTGTACCGGTGGGCATCCTTATGTTCGAACTTGGTGCTCGTTATGGCCAAACTGTGGCTTGCACAGAAGTCCAATAACAAAACACCGCTCGAGTTCAGATTAGGTGGGCCGTTCCTCCCAATCACACCCCTCCAGGTCAAGCTGTCATTGCCCACGTGAGCATTGAAGTCCCCCAGCAGGACAATGGAGTCCCCTGATGGAGCACTATCTAGCACTCGTCCCAGGGACTCCAAAAAGGGTGGGTACTCTGAACTGATATTTGGCCCATAAGCACAAACAACAGTCAGGACCCGTTCCCCGACCCGAAGGCGCAAGGAAGCTACCCTCTTGTCCCCCGGGGTAAACCCCAACACACAGGCAGAGAGTCTCGGGGCTAACAAAAAGCCAACCCCAGCCCTCCGCCTCTCAACCGGAGCAACTCCAGCAAAGTAGAGTGTCCAACCCCTCTCCAGGTCTCGGGTTCCAGAGCCAATGCAATGTGTCGAGGTGAGTCCGACTATATCTAGCCGGTACCGCTCAACCTCTGCCACAAGCTCCGGCTCCTTCCCCGCCAGCGAGGTGACGTTCCATGTCCCAAAAACTAGTTTTCTTGTCCGGGGATTGGACCGCCAAGGCTCCCGCCTTGGTCTGCCACCCGATTCGCATTGCACCGAACCCTTCATGTTCCTCCTGTGGGTGGTGGGTCCACAGTTGGACGAGCCCATGTATCCGGTTCGGGCTGGGCCCGGCCGGGCCCCATGGGCGAAAGCCCGGCCACCAGGCGCTCGCTCACGGGCCCCAACCCCAGGCCTGGCTCCAGGGTGGGACCCCGGTAACCCTCCAGGCCGGGTACTCCGACTCTTCGTTTTAACCGCCATGAAAGATCCTTCGAACCGTTCTTTGTCTCACCCTTCACCTAAGACCAATTTGTCATGGGAGACCCTACCAGGGGCACTAAGTGCCCCAGACAACATAGCTCCTAGGATCATTAGGGCACTCAAACTCCTCCACCACGATAAGGTGACGGTTCAAGGAGGAGCGGGCGCAATTTTAATTGTCAAAAACTCCAGCAAACCATTAGTTCATTTTGCTCAATTAGAAATAGAGGCCTGCCTCTAATACTGGCTCTCCTTCCAATAAAGGCCTGGAGCTTGATGAGCTTGAGTCAAACACAGGCCCGGGTCTGTATTGGAGGATTTACGGTAAATACGTTGCCATATCTGGTGTTAGCACTCTTGGTTGTTTTATGGTAGGGAGCACTTACTACACTTAATATGGTAATATGTCTCCAGCATCGGCGGAAGTGCAGTTGTTTGCCATCTTGCTCATTAAAGGAAATAAAACACTCAACAGACTCAACGTAAAACATACATTTCACTGTAATATGGAGTTGTTGGTCATTGCAAAAAGTAGCTTGAGATATTCTATAGCCGACTGTTAGCATTGTTAGTTCAATATTAGCCTCTAGCCTGATTCACCCAACATTAGAGTAAAACATAAAGATGCAATGGCTTCTTACGGGGTAATAGAAATATGTTCTGGGTCACTCCTGTTTCTGGCTTTGGCTCTTTAAACAACTCTGGAGCTTTTTGTGAGCTGGGGTCGAAATACGTATGCCGGCGTTGCTGCGTTAGCTCAGCGCAGACTCTGCAAACTCGCGGGCTCACAGATTTTAAACAAAAACTTTGTCTCTCTTTAGTTTTTTGGAAAGAAAAAAACTGACAACCCCCCAACCAGCTGAAAATGAAAAATGTTTCAGTATAACCTTCCTTCCAACAATTGAGACAGACTGTTGTGTGATTGTTTCACTGTAGACATATTACTCCTTAACTATAGTGTATTTATATTGCGCACATGCAACTTCTTAGCATGGACTATTTTGTCCCTCATTGTCCTCCACCTCCTCGTATGGTTGGACTCCTCCAATCTTTGCCCATAATTTAATTCTAAAAATTTAAAGTTTGCTGTGTATCTTTGTACTCCTTCACACACTGGTGTATAAAAGCTCATATCGTCAGACGTCTTTTTCAGTTTGTTCCGTTTCTGCCACTAAATATTTAAAGCACATGTTTTATTTGGGGTGGGGTCATTTCTTGGGGAAGCAGTGCTGTTGACAAATTTAAAGGAAGTGGCATCGTGACTAATCACAGGTTTGCAGTCTCCGTCACATTCGACAAACAGTGAAAAGATTGTCTCAGTCACCCTACGTCAGTGTTTTACAGCGTTGCGTCTCTCTGTTGATGGAGTTCATGGAGAAGTATAAACCAGTCTTAAGAAGAGCTGGAGAGTGTCTTTGAGTTAATGATTCACTGGATTTCCCTCCTGGACCTCTTACATTCAAAAGCCATTCTTAGGTAAGAGATGGATGGATGGATGGATGGATGGATGCCAGAAACAAAGTCCAACCCAAGCCAAATATGTGTTAAACAAAAGGGGCAGACTGAACTTACAATCAAAAACTCACATTAAAAAAATGAAAATGTCCAGAAAAATGTGAAATGCTACAAAAGGTATTAACATAATGTCTGTTTTAACAGTTTGCTTCATTAGCATATGTATAATGTAACACTGATGGAGTACAACAATTGAGTCACTGCAGCTACCGTGTTCCACAAGAATCTGTGATGAAGAGCTGCAGAAACACTCATTCTATTACTAATACTGGTTTGGCAAACACCCACAAAACAAATGTTTCTGTGTGTTAGCATGTACTCTAATGAATCTGTGTGTTTGAAAAAGATTTGCCTTCACAGCAACTAATCAGGATGAGAGATGGTGCTACGTAGAAAGATTAGTGTCTGACCTGTGTGGCTTCTTTCATCACCTCATTAAAGGAAAGGAAGTGCCAGAACACTTGTGTAAAATACTGTCAACTACATTCACACAAACATCATTGCTCCGTAGTACAAAGGACCAAGTACAGCACAGTGTGTTAACCCTTTGTAGAGCAAGTGACTGAATTTCATTCCTGAGCAAACTGTAAATCTTGACTTACAGTCTGAACTTGACATTTTTTAGGTAATTTTTTAATGCGGTTAGAAAAATTTGTTAAAATGTTCCTTTAAATAAAAAAATGTTCCAGAAGTAAAAATATAAAACTATTTAACAATAAATAAATATATTTCAGAATCAGAATCAGAAGTTTTTATTGCCATATGTGTGCCAAGTCACAACATTAGGAAATTGCTGCGGTATTTATCAATGAAAAGAAGTTGGAAGTGTAGAAAAATGTGACACTGGGAAAAACTTATGATAAATGATAAAAGGCCCACAGTCAGAAGGCTCTAAAGTGCTTTACGCTACAGTGTATCGTTCATCCATTCACACACACATTCACACACTGATGGTGATGAGTTACAATGCTGCCATAGCTGACTTACTAAAAGTAAAACAACATCATCAGATAAAAATGCATGCTTAAGTACTTCAGTGAATGTATTTTAAAGAGTTAATCATTAGCAACAGTAGATAATCTGAAGATGCTCACAAGTTTCTTGAAGCCAAACATTTTTCAAGGTGTGGAACACTCATGTTCAGTTGTCTCTAGGAATGAAGACCTTGTAAGTCATACTCTGGGTACAAAAAGACCTGGTGCGCCTGTCTCAGGACCATGGACAGTTCCTTCAAAGGCACATGCACATTAAGCATGTCTGTGTCCTTAAGCCATTCACTGCCATTGACGACTACAGTCGTCATTTTAGATACAACCATTCACTGCCAATTTTTTTACTGTTTGCTGCATTTTTTTACTGTTTGGGCATCGGAACGAGCCCCCGCACCGCAAGAACAAACATCTCAGCTCTGAAGCCGATCTTCATCCCGTATACGTCACACGTCACATGATCAGGAAGCAGAAAATCTATGTGTTAGGAGATCGTTTTGGGCCACTGCTGTAAAAAAAAAAGCGAGGCGTGAACCGGAAAAGCTTCTGCCGATCACAATTCAACAACGGTTTATGAAAGAACGGATAGCGCTCGAAACACGGGGATTCTTCCTGGTGTAAGAGAAGAGTCACCGCTTTGTTTTGGTTGTTTTGGCGTCAACACCATCCTAGCATGCAACGTTCTGTGACTCTTAAAAAAAACTGTAAAAACGGTGTGAAACGCTGGCAGCGAAGGCCTTAAGCGATCAAGAAACGGCTGGCAGTGAATGAGTTAATGCTGCATGTTTCAGGAAAACCAAATGTACTTTTTCTTTGCTCTATTTAGTGGTTAAAGGTCACAATAATAGCTTACTGCCTGTGTGTGTTTACCTGTACTTTTGTTGTTATTTTTCTTCTGCCTTTTCTCTAAGTGTATGTGCTGCTGTTGCAAGTGAATTTCCCCATTGTGGGATGAATTAATTCTATTCTATTCTATTCTATTCTATTCTATTCTATTCTATTCTATTCTATTAAAAGAGGCACAGTAGCTTGTCTTTTTAATGCTGATCATTGAATCTATTTATTTTCAGTTAATTCACACTTTTTTAAGGACTCTATGCCCCAGCATCCAACTCTGGACTTTCTACTGGAAACATACTGTATTTTTGTCTATCTGGTAAACAATACTGTAGACCGAGCTTAATGAGCAGAGTCCACAGGCTATTTAATGAATTCCCCCAAATCAGCACCATGGGAGTTGCTGAGATAATTGTACTGGGCTTAGCTGCAAACAATGACAGAAAAAGAAATCTGTTCCTAGACTGAAACACTCTCAAATTAAAATGGTGAGTTGAGAAATGCATGCTATTAAACTCCACAGCCATGATAAATAAAACCAAACAAGACAAACAGAATGAGAAAATTGTAGAAACCAAGATGGGGTGAGAAGATAGTGCGTTTGCAAGTCTGAATTATTTATTATGTGTTAGCATGATGCATCAAGACGGGCATCAGCATTAATATATTCTAAGAAAGAAGTTTGCTCTGCAGCTTTAACCTTGAAGAAGCCATGAGCAGCATTTCTCTGTCCCAGCCAGAAGGAAGTGTCCTCTGGTATGTCCATGTAGGGAGCTTCCACCACCCGCTCATAGATCCTGGAAAACACACAGAGAGGTCAAAAGCTAAATATATTAAGTTGTACCTGAAACTCATGGATTACATTCAGGGATCATGTAATAAGAAACAGTTTCCCAACAGATTTCAGGTCTTTGGCCTGATCAATTCTCCCGTTAACTTTGTCCCTGAGGAGAGGACGGACAGCCACATGCTTTCTGAGGGACATGTGGTGGTACCGTCTGCTTCTTTCATTGTGCCAAGGAGATTTATCACAAACAGTCACACCCAAGTCAGAACATACAGCAGGTGTATAAATAATGTGGGTTTATTTAAGGTATGATTTTCTCTAGAACAGTGAGAAGAAAAAATGCACGTTATTATTATTTTTTTTGTATAAAGTTTCAATAACTACTGTCCTCAGCAAAGATCAATGTTTATTACTGCCATTACTGAGATCAATGTTTATTACTGCCATTACTGTGTCTTAATAATGACACATATTATTATTATTATTATTAGTAGTAGTAGTAGTAGTAGTAGTAGTTTTAGTAGTAGTAGTAGTAGTAGTGGTATTACTAGTAATAGTAGTAGAAGTAGCTGTAGTAGTAGTAGCAGCAGCAGTAGTAGTATTAGTAGTAGTAGTAATAGTAATAGTAGTAGTAGTATTAGTATTACTAGCAGTAGTAATAGAAGAGGCAGTAGTAGGAGCAGCAGTAGTAGTAGTAGTAATAGTAGTAGTAGTAATAGTAGCAGCAGCAGTAGTAGTAGTAGTAGTAGTAGTAGTAGTAGTAGTAGTAGTAGCAGTAATAGTAGTGGTAGTAGTAGTAGTAGCAGTAATAGTAGTAGTAGTAGTAGTAGTTGTTGTTGTAACAGTAGTAATAGTAATAGTAGTAGTAGTAGTAGTAGTAGTAGTGGTGGTGGTGGTGGTGGTAGTAGTAGTAGTAGTAGCAGTAGTAGTAGTAATAGTAGTAGTAACAGTAGTAGTAGTAGTACTAGTAGTAGTAGTAGCAGTAGTAGTAGTAGTAGTAGCAGTACTGGTAGTAATAGTCCCAAAATAAGTCACATTATTATAAAATGTCATGGTGCGGTTATTTTTCTGTCCGACACAAATATTCCAACCCAGTCAGGCTCCAGTAAAACCAGTGGACAGAACAGCTGACCCATTATAAAAGATAGATGATGCAGGTTTACTTCATTAATGTCGGTGATGCAGGAGTTTACTAAACAGGAAGCTATCCCTCAAAAGCCTCTCACCCACAATAAATGGCAGTAGTGTTAAATGAGCCAAGCAGCCAGCCTAAAAACACTGCTAATGCATCCTGAACCAGAAACAGTGCTGAGTAAACACGTCTGCAACCCTTTCCTGCTGGCAGTTTTCATGTTTACAGTGTTAAACAAATCCAATAAATAAATATGATCTTCTAATAAAGTTTGTGTTAATATTTGCCAATAATCAAAGTGGGTGTTGAGATTTGTTTTTCTGTTAAAGTTAATCAGAACATATTTGTTACGTTCTTTCTGTGTTTTCCATCCAATTTAAATGTTTGTGATTCTTCATCATACACAGAGCAAGACGAGCTTGTTAGAAACCTGTGGATACCTTACGTGGGCAATAAATGAAGGAAAACAACAAGAAAAGAAAAACAAGACACTGAACTAAAAAAGCAGAGAGAATAGAGACAAAATCAGCAATAACCTTTCCATACATCAAAGGCATAACAGAAAATATAATAGCAGTGATGGAAAACTACAACAAAAACACACCAACAAAACCATGTGTGACAGTTAGAAAAACGCTAGTACACCAAAAAATGTAGATATCATTAGAACTAAAATTTGGAGTCATAAACGAAATACCATGCAAACTCTGCAATAAAACATGCATAGGAGAAATAGGACGCCAAATCAACAGACGAACAATAGAACATAAAAAAAGAATGTGAGAAGAAAACAAGTCAAAGTCACACAAGAGCAGGAAAACAAGGGGCAGAAAGTACAATAAAGAAATCAGCTATGACAGACCACTGCACAGCTGCACTTTGCTCAAAAAATGTCCTCCCAAAACAGCTGCAGCCATTGCACACATCTGGATCCCTGCTTTATGTAGTTTCCATGAGTCATAAAACATGAAAAAAAATATATAAAACTACTTTGGCAATCAAACTACAAAAAGTACTTTTTGCAAACAAACCGATTCAATTTGGGTCTTTAATTGCAACAAGAACATTTCAATGACAGCTGCAGTCATGTCCAGTCATCCAACTTTACACAAAACGTGTTGCATTCGAGTCACGGGAACTGATTCTAAATGATTACAGCTGAAATGTCATGTTTTCCTGCACATTTTGTTTGTTTTAACTAGTCACAGTCACGATCCAGTGAGGTACTGATTAATTGTTCTTTTTGAGTGTTGGTCCCAACTCGACAGGTTTGTGAAACAGTCAACAAAGCAGTAAAACTAGTGAAAAACTAGTGGTCACATAGCAGGAACGGCAATAGCAGACGAGTCGTGTACAGGAGGTAAATCCTTCTTTCACAAATACTCAAAATAATTTTAGAAGTTTACTTAATGTTTGCTCTATCTGCTTGGCCTTTGTTCGGTCATAGAGATGCTAAAAAATAAACATCCTTGCAGTATCTGCACCTCCTAATGAAAACATCTCTCTCACACAGCAAGACAACCTACAAATGTTGGGAGGTGCACAACCATCAGAGATGACACAAACCCACCCTGCATAACGATCACTGTGACATTTATTTTGGCACGAGCCACAGTTTGTGTGGCCAAGGATGGTATTCTAAAGTGCGATGGAAGAGATCCTGAACAGTGAGACTGGATGTAACACAAGAAACTGCTATTTTAGTACCCTCATCATCTTGTGATCACAAAGCAAACGAGACCAGTTTCTTTGGCTAATGAGATCAATCTAAACTTAGCACAAAATGTAAGAAAAGTAACTATCGACAGAAGAATATTTCAGGGGATTTTGGCACTGTTCATGTTTATTTGTGTTGCTCATTTCAAGGATGCACAATCCTTACATGCTAAACTGCGTAGTGAAGGTGACTGACTGGTGCTCCAGCCTTTTGAGATTCATTGCCAAGATGCATCATCACAACAAAGGAATGCTCAACCGAATACAAATGTTCTTACTTTTTTGTGCTAAGATTAGCTTAAATATGAATATTTTCCAAGAAAAGCACCAACAATTAAAGAATATAGAAGCAAGAACTTTCAGCTTCCATACATTCTTCCATCTTTAATTTGGAAACTGTCTTGTTTATTTTTCCTTCAGTCGCTCCTGAATTAGACTCAACACCTTCTTGCCCTGTAGTATGTTCGAAGCATTTTTGACATCATTGTACAACAGAGAAGTTTGACTTTTAAAACTCACTCACATTAACTTATATCTGTGTCTGACCTGTTGCAGTCGACGTGTAAGATGACATGAGAGGCGCTGACAGCTATGGAGACCTTATGCCACTGGTCATCTGCCAGGCTGTAAGGAAACACCTCAGTGTGGTCCTGGTGGCTCCTGGTGCGATAATGAAGCCGCACCTCACTGCGCTGTCCGCTGCTCTCCAGCTCCAGGAACCTGCAGAAGAAAAAACCGGCAGGAGCTGGTTTTAGTAGCAACAACATGATGGCAGCTTCCCCTTCACATTTTGAATGTAAAATAATATTTCTCCTCTTTGAAAGTATCAGAATTGCACAAATCACCTGAGCTTCCAAGCTCAGCATACTGCTGAAAGATAAACACTGTCATCATTCTCAAGCTGACAACCTACATTCCTCAGATCTGCAACAGAGTCTACGATGTTTTTACCTCCGTGGTAATGGTGCCTCATGGCTTGTAAGTGCAGCATCAGCGACATTCAACAATGAACCGCATGTAGCGGTTTAACTTGGTACACTGGAGTAGTAGTATGCTAAGAGAATCCACTCCTCCACAGCACTGAGATTTACTCAGCACAAGACACTAATGGAAAGAGCTGCCAGCACACACTCACCTCTGCTTTTAAAGGCAGACTTATTTAAAGTAGAGTTATTTGCTCGAAACACCATTCCAAAGAAAAATAGATGCTCATGCAAGTGTAGCAACAGAATTGATTTATCTGCAAACCAGATCTAATAGATTTACTCTCCCCTGGTCATGCATGCACATTAATCCCCGGCTCTACAAATGCACTCGCTTACACTTCTGATGCAGAATTAGTCCTTGTCACATTTCCAGATGAAACCATGCAGTGCTGCTTTGTAGAATATGAATGGCTGGGAAAGCTAATCAGCAGTGGGGGAAAGTCATTAACATCCCTGCGAGCTCTCGGCTCAGGACTGACTTAAATGTAGAAACTGTTCAATCAGTGCATTATGTGAAACTCCGATTGCTGTTCTGATCATCCAACGGCTCAGCTACCACAAACTAATGGAAACATTAGCATTCCGGCTGCAGATCGGGTCTCATCAGTTTTCTGCTCAGTTACAGACTCGCTGCTTGCATCATTGATGGACTGTGCATAATGCACCAGCATTTAGGATGATTTGCTTTGTTTATTCAACTAGTGTGTAAAACATCTAAACACCCATCAAATACAAACATCCAGCCTGCTGATGGTATGCACTAAATTTAGAACATGGCTTTATGTATGTACTACAAGATGTCTTTATTACAGATTTGCAGTAGACTATGTCATGGTGGTAGTAGATCTACCTTACCCTGAACCTAAAATCACATATGATGACCAAAAGCTCCAGTAAACATTTGACTGTCCTAAAGGGCACAGAGTCACAAAAACAAGGAGAATTTAAAATGTTATTAATGCACTAAGGGATCGATCTTTTAGGATGGTCTCTATGTGTATTGTAATACAGCAGGTGCTGAATTTGTGGTTAACATTTTTTTAAAGTGTGCTTCACTTATTAAATCAATACATTTGCAGTGGTCTCTAGTTAGAATGAATGCCTAGTTAGTCATATTCGAGGAAGAAATAAGTGCAGAAGTGTCTGAATCAGCACAGAGAATTCAGCTGGAGGAGAAAGTAGCTTCAGACGACAGGATTTAGAGTCTTGTTTCTGGATATTTGGAAATTTTCCTTCTGATTGGCTAACAGAAACTTGACTAACACTGAGTCTGTTTGCTTTGTAACACTGATGTTTAATCTCCACAAATAAAACAAGCCTTGAGGAGTTCTGCTGTGTGGTGAAATGGCTAATGCTAACGGTTAGCTTCTGCTAATCGAGACGTTCTCTGTCGTTTCCTGGACTCTAAACCAACAGCAGCCTTTCCCATCCCAAGTCAAGATGGGTGAGTCCATGAATGTTAAGTGACAGTGTGATGTAAATTTGCCATGCATTTCACTGTCTATGTTGTCGTTCTTTTTTTAAAACACAGAAACGGTTTTGTTACCTGTTGACGCTATGTTTCGCTGACGGCTGCCGGCTTCTTCAGGCTGACGCTGATGGTGGCGCATCCCTTCCTTCTCCGTTTATCTGCGGGCAGCAGAGGACGTTGTCGCCCTCTACTGCCCGCTGTCCCCTCTCCGACGATGCAGTCCCATGCGTGGTCCAGCGTGTAAACTCTGTCGTCCCTGTTCATGGTCCCACATCCACGTCTCCTTATCTCGATTGCTTCCTTGATCCATCTTTTGTATTTTTGTTGTTCAGTGGTTATGAAAATACAAAAGATGGATCAAGGAAGCAATCGAGATAAGGAGACGTGGATGTGGGACCATGAATAGGGACGACAGAGTTTACACGCTGGACCACGCATGGGACTGCATCGTCGGAGAGGGGACAGCGGGCAGTAGAGGGCGACAACGTCCTCTGCTGTCCGCAGATAAACGGAGAAGGAAGGGAAGCGCCACCATCAGCGTCAGCCTGAAGAAGCCGGCAGCCATCGGCGAAACGTAGCGTCAACAGGTAACAAAACCGTTTCTGTGTTTTAAAAAAAGAATGACAACATGGAATTAGAACGACACAGCAAGAACACACCTAAGATGTTTCACTGTCTAGTTCTGTCAGAAGCTAATGCAGGAAAATGGTGTAGGAGACTATTTTTATGTTCAGCCTGCATGAAATACTTAGAATTATAATCAGAAAAAAATATTAAAATTGTGTTTTTCAGTGTTCCGCACCTTTTAAGACAGTGTGGGATTATATATATGACAGAATAAATGAAAATAAAATGTAATTGTGATATATTTCCTCATTATAATCTTGATACAACACAGTCACACTGTTTCAATCCTAAATAAAACCAATCTGGAACTTTTCAGTGCCATGATGAAGAGAACTGAGTGTACCTGTGCTCAGAGTGATGGATGGAGAGGATGACTCCAGAGTTTAGATGATCCTGTTTGAGAGTTGCGAGCACAGTGAACTCGTTCTTGCCTTTAAGCTTCTGGACCGTACGCTTCGAGACCTCAGCAGGAGCTTTCACTTCCCTGGAGGTTCCTAGAATGAGAGCAGGGTCATCAGAAACTACAAAACTACATCAGAGCTCAGAATGGTTGAATATCTGTGAGAAAGTTCTTGGGAAATCAAGCTGCACCCAAACGAGGAGATGCAAGGTTGACAGAGAAAATAGAAAATTGTACACACACAAAATCCTGAGGGGAAACCCATGTGTCTTGTCCATGTCATTTGTTCGACATACAAAAATAAAGACACTGACTCTAAGCTACCAGAAAAGCTGTGTGATTTTCATAATATTTCGCCATATCGCATGCATACTGACTAAAAATGAAGACAATGGTACAATACAAGAGATGGTGTACATGGAAATGAGCAGCCCACTGGCAAAGCCTTATGACAATTTGGCCCAACAAACCCCTGCTGTCTTGGGTTGGAAACATCTCCTGGGCCTCTGAGCCCACCATACAGGCCCAGTCGTGTCATTTATAATCACCGTGTTGACAACTAATTGTTCTTTTGATATCAAAAATATCAAAGAACATGATTGCTATAATATGACATTTTATTTGCTCTCAGAACATTCAGTCTCAGTGTTGTTTGTCAGCTGCAACCTGCTTCTTTTTCTTGTGTAGGATATGACTGATGCTAGGTTATCAGATTGCGATGGCAGCATCAATTAGAAGGAAATCTGTCTGCGTGTCATTGCACTCCTCTTCCAACATTGTGTTGCCGTTCTCCTCTCCAAAGTGCAACTTTAATGGCACCATCTATAAATTATGACGTTTCTCAGAAGAAATCACATCAAAGAGTTCACTTCCAGCGATGGGGTGCATGCAAGATGCCCTGGCACACTTAGGCACTCCAGGAAGCAAGCATGGCTGCTTCTCCTCGGCGTAGGGACATTTCTCCTAGCTGGTGGGAGCAGACAATTAACCCAATGCAATAGAATGAAACATCAAGCATGAAAACGGAATACGCAGAATAATGAATACTTATACTGAAAGCAATAAAAGTTAAATGAAAGTGGGAAATTTGTCCTTTTCCAGGCATTCTTTCTGAACGAGCATGAACTTTTTAGTAGTGTGTGCTTTAATAAAAATGGAGGAATTATTTGCATCTGTTATGTGTCTGTCTGAAACATCCTTTCCCTCTTTAAATTTGCCCTTTAACAGAAAAGGAGAATATTAGAGAGTTTCATGCATTTTGCATCAGCAGTTGGATATTATCTCTGTGTCACTGGCTGACGTGGGACAGATGGTCCAATGACTGCAAAAGGAGCTATGCCTAGCAGTAATCTGCAGCAGACAAACAGTGATCCTGCTCAGAAACCAAACCCAAATGACACTGTCAAAAATGATCTAAGATTAACTAACAGCATTTAGCTTTTAATGCAGGACAAATTGAACAGCTCTCTAAATGTCAGTTCTTTGCATGATTTTTGGATGTTTTGTGTAGACAATTTTGACATTATAAACAGTCTTTGGGTTCATGAAGAGAATCATGACATCTTCATCATGAGCAAAATAAGCCCAGAGGAAGCAGGTGTCAGGGTGTGCCATGGAGGGGGATGGTGAGGAGGAATAAACCTCCACCACCAGCCACCGCTCCACAGTTAGCCAACCTTTGACCTATGAGTGAATGACTTTCATCACCAGTCTTTACACTCTGAGGTCAAGAGGTTGCATAAAATGAGGCTTCCGAGGATTAGAGGGTGGTAGCCTGCCCTTGTTTAGGTGGTGCAGTAAGAATTGTTTGCATGGAAGCACAAAACCTCAACCGATTAGGAAAGCTAAAGCAAGAACTTTGCATTCATACGCAAAAGCAGAGTGGACATGATTGTGCAGGGAGGAGATAGAGCCAAATCAATGTGGCTCTGCTGAGAAGGCCTTCGGTCGATTAAGTATTGGCAGGCGCCTGGATGGGGCGACCACCTGCTCCTAATGACCACTCTGGTGTGAGGTACTGACACAGAAAAGATGTAAAATGATGGTCTAGTGCATCAAATTCTAATCAGCACAGTTTTCAGTGCAACAACATAGGTCTGCACAGCTATAGTTGTTTACAAGTTAAGAGGAACAATTGATGAAGAGGAAACTGATTTGAGGAATGAAGAGTTTTGATACTGGAACTGCGCTGCTCTGGGTGGCTGCATGTTGGAGTAGCACTGTTGACTACATGTAAGTTTTACCTTTTCTTGGACATTTTTTCTTCTAGTTTCTCAAGAAAAACAGTATTTTTTTGGACATTTTACTTTTCTGTTTCTGGCGCTATGAAGCTTGGAGGATTTTTACTGCAATTTTTTAACTTTTTTCACTTTTTGAGCATTTGTTATGATGCACAACCATAGCATCAAGCTGGTTTACAATCGGGAGCAGCTGATTACAGTTTTTTTTTATTGCTAAAACAAGTTTTTCAAAACTGTACGTTTCTTTCAAAACTGCACACACAAAACTCCAAACATAACACACAAATTCCTAAACTGTGGCTTCCCTTTGCAACAAAACCCTGCCATCACATATCGTAACATGTTCCCATAATGGAACATGGGTTTTCATTTGGTAAACACAGCCACATTTTCACATGACACACACATGCCATTCATTGCTTAAACACCGCCCACACACAGACACACACACACATTTTGAGACGGAACATTTTATTTTTACAGCGATTCCAGTGTCTCTCTGCCAGGATTCCCTACTGTACGAGCAGACAGAGATCTGAAGAGGAGCGGGAAAAGAAAAGGAGGTGGAGTGGCAGTGCTTGTCAACAACAGATGGTGCCATCCAGGTCATGTTTCAGTGAAATGTCGTCTCTGCAGCCCAGATGTTGAACTCTTGGCAGTAAGTTGTCACCCATATTATTTGCCAAGAGAGTTCACCAGTGTTGTCTTGGCAACCATTTATATTCCACCTTCAGCCATTGCTGAAAATGCATGTGATGCCATCAGTTCCGTTGTCGCTAAGCTACAAACCCAGCACCCCAATGCATTTGTGGCTATATCTGGTGATTTTAATCATGCCTCGCTCTCTGCTACACTTCCAACAATTCAACAGTTTGTCAGCTGCTCCACCAGAGAAAACAAGACATTGGATTTGTGTTATGCAAATGTGAAGAAAGCATACATGTCCAAAACAAGACCTCCTCTGGGACTATCAGATCACAATCTTGTTTTTCTCTGCTCAGAATACAAACCACTTGTTCAGAGGCAACCTGTGACAAGAAGAACTGTGAGAAAATGGTCACAGGATGCTGAAGAAGCCCAGCAGGGTTGCTTTGAGACCACAGATTGGATGACTCTGTCAAGGATATGAAGAGGACATCAATGCCATGACTGGATGTGTCACTGACTATATAAACTTCTATATGTACAACATCATACCCACCAGAACAGTGAGATGCTTTGCTAATAACAAACCCTGGATCACCAGTGAACTGAAGAATCTGCTAAATGAGAAAAAAACAAGCCTTCAAGGAGGGAGACAGGGAATTATTGAGGAGTGTACAGAAGCAACTGAAGATCAAGATCAGAGACAGCAAGGAGGCAAACAGGAAGAAGCTGGAGAACAAACTACAGATGAACAATATCAGAGATGTCTGGTTAGGGATGAAGAAGATCACAGGCTTCAAGCAGAGGAAGGATTGCACAGATGGCAGCCTGGACACAGCCAATGAACTGAACAAGTTCTTCAATAGGTTCAGTTCAGGAACAAACCCAGCATCCACCTCGCCTGTCCCCAGCCAGTCAGACATCCCATCCGCCTCTGATCCAACATTTTCCTGTCACACGCCAGCTCTTTTGTCCTCTAACGCAGTCATGGACTCTTCTGGTTCTATAAATCTGTCTTCAACCAAGTCAGGAGATGCTGCTGCACCATTTACCTCCCCCTCCCACCTATCTGTCTCTAGAAGTCAGGTGAAGAGGCAGCTGGAGAGACTGAACAGGAACAAGGCTGCAGGTCCCGATGGTGTCAGTCCCAGAGTACTGAAGGCCTGTGCAGAGTAGCTCTGTGGGATTCTGCAGCACCTCTTCAACCTCAGCCTGGCCGAGGGTAAGGTTCCAGTCCTGTGGAAGACATCCTGCCTTGTTCCAGTTCCAAAGAAAACTTGGCCATCAGTCAATGATGACTACAGACCGGTTGCTCTGACATCCCACATCATGAAGGTCCTGGAGAGACTCCTGTTGGTCCACCTGAATAAGAAAACTAGGACATATCAGGACCCACTGCAGTTTGTTTATCACCATGGAGTTGGAGTTGAAGATGCCATCATCCAGCTGCTTCAACCAATCCACTGTCATCTGGACAAAGCAGGCAGCACTGTGAGGGTCATGTTCTTTGATTTCTCCAGTGCATTTAACACAATCCAGCCTGATGTACTTTGCCAGAACCTCCAGAAGACACAGGTGGGGGCCTCAACTATCTCCTGGATTAAAGACTACCTGACAAACAGACCACAGTTTGTGAGGCTGAAGAACTGCACATCAAACCAGGCAATCAGTAACACTGGAGCACCACAGGGGACTGTACTCTCACCATTCCTTTTCACCCTGTACACCTCAGACTTCCAGTACAAATCCGAGACCTGTCATCTACAGAAATACTCAGATGACTCTTCAGTTTTTGGATGTATCAGAGATGGACAGGAAGCTGAGTACAGAGAGCTGGTGGAGCGCTTTGTGGCATGGTGTGGAAACAAGCATCTGACCTTGAACGTGAACAAAACAAAGGAGATGATTTTAGACTTCAGAAGAAACAGGGTGGAGTCAAACATTGTTTCCATCATGGGAGAAGAAGTGGAGGTGGTTGAGGAATACAAATACCTTGGAGTTCACCTGGACAACAGACTGAACTGGAGAAAGAACAGTGAAGCCATTTACAAGAAGGGGCACAGCAGACTGCACTTATTGAGGATGCTTAGGTCCTTTAATGTATGTAGCAAGATGCTGCAGATCTTCTACAAGTCTATTGTTGAGAGTGTAATCTCTTCAGCCATCGTCTGTTGGGGTAGTAGCATCAGAAGCAGGGACCTGAAAAGGC